AGAATAAAACGAAGATGATGTCCATATAAAAACATAACAATCATGTATAGCTTAGTGTTTTGCTATTTTTTCTATGTTCCAATTGGACATAATTTGACCAGTGTGTAGCCAATACTGTATAAAAACAACAACAACAACCACCACAACAAAATATTTTAGGGCTCCCGTCGCTCACGAACCTGCATACTAGTATATACCAAATTCTTATGTAAACGCGAAGCAAACACAGTGCCACGGTCACGTGACTTCATGTACAACCGTCAACAATAACACATATCACGTGATGGTTATGATGTAAACGTTTTTTTTTTTTAATATGTTCAAATAATTTCCAATATAAATATTGCGTTACATCAGTGTATAAAAATATGGAATTTTTTTTTACAAAATTGGTCGAATAAAATGAGAGCTTTGCTTCCATTATGACGAAGGTCATTATTAGAATTCTTCAGACCAAACCATACTATTCGTAGATATAAGCTTTCATTTTCCTATTTTTTTATTAATTTGTTTTTAAATAAATATTATTTGCATGACTAGCTTACAATATTTGTTTTTTTCACTAACCTTAACGCACTGCATTTCCCCTTTCAAATCCGATTGTTTTCGTACTTTCCACTTTTGAATAATTTCATTTATTCTAATATACACATACCGAAACAGGTTGTAGTGAGAGATGAACTGACACAATAAGTCACTGTGATTGGGAATAACTTGAGTAAGACTAGCTCGGACCAAATGTAATAAACTTCATTTTCGTTTGGAATTAATTTTCGCTGAAGGAATGATTCAATGAAAATAAAATCAAGCGAATATACCCTTTTTCCTATCTTCTACATTCAACTTGTCAATCAGTGAAAATAATTTCCATACAAAACACCTTTTCAGCGAAAATTAATTCCACCTGAAATAAAGTATTTTACAGTATATAAGCACTTATTATTCAAAAGAGTCTAAGTAGTAAAACCTAACATACATGTGACATCATGTGACTTGTGATGTCACATACCACATGTGGACTCTCCCTTGACCATATTAGCGTTGCGTACATTGCCTGTATTGTCCTAGCTATTGTTATTACCTACCGGTCACCTGTCCAACGTAGTGACTCGTTCTTTGAACGCACGGAGCAATTTAATTGTCGAATACATGAACAGACTATGTACTCAGATGATATAAGAAGGTGTCCCTGTAATATATATGATATGTACTTGCGAGTGCCCTAAAATAATTAGCATACGATAAACATGGATAAATAACCCACAATGCATCACTCGAACTTTTGCACAAGGTCAGTTGTAATAATTTAAATGTTAATCATATCATTGGATGGTCACATAAATAATGTGCGATATCTTGGTCATATTAATATAAAATACATTTATAAACAACGAGAAAGAAGTGATTTGTCAATGTATCTAAATATTGTCAAGATTGTGGAAATTCTGTGATAAATATGCAGCTTACAGTGTATATGTTAATGCAGCATACGTATGCAGTAGTGAATTTCGATCTAAAACGGTCGGCTGTATTTTGCACATGAAGCAAAAGTGAAAGTATGCAAGCCGATCTACAATGCTGCATTCATAGTATAACGCCCTCATCAGTTCATATACATGTAGTTGACGGTTGAGGGCGCAGTCAAGGAGAATCGTTTTTTATAAGGAACAACAAAATTACTATACAGTTACTTTATATTAGCAGTTGCAGTCATCGGTTCGACTGCAAGTTTTAATACAAATTAAATACATATGAGAGTACAGTGTCATCACAGTTTATCTGTGTCCTTGCTTAATGTAACAGTCAAGTATTTCCAAGGATAAACGCTATCATTCCATCACCTTGTTGTGATAAGTTTGTTGTGATAAGTTTGTTGTGATAAGTTTGTTGTGATAAGTTTGTTGTGATAAGTTTGTTGTGATAAGTTTGTTGTGATAAGTTTGTTGTGATACGTTTGTTGTGATAAGTTTGTTGTGATAAGTTTGTTGTGATAAGTTTGTTGTGATAAGTTTGATGTGATAAGTTTGATGTGATAAGTTTGATGTGATAAGTTTGTTGTGATAAGTTTGTTGTGATAAGTTTGTTGTGATAAGTTTGTTGTGATAAGTTTGTTGTGATAAGTTTGTTGTGATAAGTTTGTTGTGATAAGTTTGTTGTGATAAGTTTGTTGTGATAAGTTTGATGTGATAAGTTTGTTGTGATAAGTTTGGTGATAAGTTTGTGTGATAAGTTTGTTGTGATAAGTTTGTTGTGATAAGTTTGTTGTGATAAGTTTGTTGTGATAAGGATGAGTATCATCAAATGAATTAATATCATTCTAAAAAGAATACAGATGCAAATGGACGCCGAGAGATTTTCTTCTCTAATAGTGTTCCATTCTATTTCACTATTCCAAATACCATGGCAACAGTGGCACAGGTGTTATAAAACAAATCGAGAATAAATGAAAAATCAGACATTTAAATGTCTAATGACCAAACATGCAAGGTTTATTTGCCCACTAAATTTATGTACATTGAACAGAAATGCTACAAATATGTAATGAACAACATCCTTGGGAAATGATACCAACAGAGACTGTTTTAATGTTTCTCTAAGACAGTGGTTCAAAATGCTTCAACAAACACACAAAATAGGAAGTGTACCACCTAGGTTAGGCATATTTGGTCATTTCAACGTCATGGAACAAGCAGGTGTACTCAAGATAGTCAAAGCAAGAATACAAAAGTAGGAGATAGTGTACACACTTTTTTTTCTACAAGTGTGCCAATATTCATACACAAATGATTTTTGAAATATAACTGACTTCCAGTTGTGATTCTCATGATATAACCAACCAGATTTGTTATTCTTTCAGGTATGTTGGAGATGTGGATCTGGAATTGCATTCTTTAAAACAAAATGGCCAGCAGTCATATTGAACCTAATCTGAGATGTTCACTGTATGTAGCAAGGTGGAATAAAATCTAGCCAAGCATGACTGGGATTCTGTTCCTGAAGGGTAAAAATGTGCAATTTGGGAGGGGGGGGCTTAAAGTGGCTGCCATTCTGCCTTTGGCTTGTGCGTCTGATGTGATATGATGTATGTGTGTAGTTTGAACTTGATCAGTCCAAGCATGTGGGAGATACTGCTGGGTAACATACGCACCATGGATTGCATCAGAACAGTGACTAAAAATAATCAATAAGGGATACGAGATTTCTCACAATTATAAATTAAAACAAGTTTATTATTACACATGTACTGTTGATTACTCAATTGGAATGCAATAACGTCGGTTTTGACCGAAATTGATATTCAAATACGAGACCGTCTGTTAAGTTGTTTTCTTGTTTGGCATTTTTTAAATAACTGTTGATTGTTCTAGCAACGTAAATGTGCATAATACGACCAACCAAGTTACATTCTTGCAGAAACAACAATATCAAGAGCCGTTAAATAACTATGCAAATTAGTCTTGTGCCCATGTACTAAGTTTTGGTATTTTTTTTTCACAACTACAAATACGAGCATTGTTCTATATAGATCAACACATTCAATAATTGTGCATCTTTGAAAAGCACTGACCAAATTACATTAATTTAATTTTTTTTATATTGATGTCAAAAAAAAACTACTTATAAAGAAGTCCAGTGCATGGGATATATCGTATTGATTTTGAATCTCTGGATATTGACATTGCAATGCGCAAGTGAATTACCAATGTTTAAAGCAGGCGAGTCGTTGCCTGCACACGAGTCAGGTGGCCATAGCATTGTTTACAAGTGTCTACCCATGAGCCTTTACATTCTTAGCATGTATTTTTTCGCTTGGCATTGTGTCAACACAGGTGGCGCTATTCAGCACAGACCTGCGTCTGAAGGCTAAATATCCATCCGCCACTATTTTACTCAGTGTTTCTTCTGCGGAACTATATACAAGTATTTTTCTAGTTTTAAACACATTCTCTCCCGATTTTTAGCAAGATTTAATCTTTAATGAGTTGATCAATTAAAAAAATGCACAACACTCATCAGAATGTCTTACTTTATTAACATTAAAATGAATGTAAATTGGGACAGTATACAACCCAACTTTTATATTGAATTTTTACTGCGACAATTTATCGGTGTTATGTATTTTAAAAACAGACTGTTTCAAAAATAATTATTTATCATTTAAACAAGTAGAAATTTTGGAGTTTTTACGGTATTCAGGAAAAGCAAAACAATGATCCATGACATGGTTTTATGACTTTAAGATTTAATTTAGGACACTTCAAATTAAGTGGGTACTTAGTCAAATGTTACCCGGAACCAGAAATCCCGAATGAACTTGGATGAAAGAGTTACGACCTTCCTGCCGA